ATACCTTGCGAAGTCGCCATGTTTTTCAGCCGTCGAGCGGGCCGGCGGTGACAATTTTTTCGCGATAACGCGAAGAATATCGTTACTTCGAACCAAAAATCGAGTCCAAAGGAGAGAATTTAAGATTATCTTACTGTGTTTGTAGATAGGGCAAAAGGATTAAGCGTTTTGAACAATGAAACTATCGTATAAAACCACGCGTGCTTGACCTATTACAACTTTTGTTTACTGGAAGGCTTGCTCTCCAGTTTTGTGTTGCTAAGCGGTATCCAAGCACGTGACCACTAGCTGCAAAGGGCCTATTGACAGCCTGGTATCTTGTTTTCTTGTTTTTATTTATTTCACTAATGAGTAACATTGTATGATTCACATGTATGCATGCAAATGTACAAAGTTTAAATAATATAACCGTGAAACTTTGGTAATGCTAAATAGCACAATTTCATGCAAATTCCATTGTTTTCATTTGTTTAATTAGCACTATTTAACAATTATTCGCCGAAGACAAAGTGATTATCGGGGAATATTTACCGAGGCGCGAGTTTTCGATAAAAGGCATTTTGTTCCAGTAACAGCAACAAAGCGGCTGGCCGCCATTTTGGATTTTTGCTCAAGGTGATTATCGTGTGATAGTGTAAGTTTCTTGACCAATCAGCACGAGCGATTTTCTATAATCACCTGCGTATTTTTACTAATTTGTACTATTTAGTAATTAGTGTTTCACAGATTAATTTTTTGCACTCTATGAAACCCATGTATTTTTTAATAACAAATATCAAAAGAGCTACTTATTTGAAACTTTAGCACCTGTATGTTCCTAGCAAGTGATCCATAAATAATCTATTAAATTTGTATTTTTATTGTTATCAAATTTATATTAAAGCTCTGTTGCATTTCTACCCCTAACCAATGTGTATGTGTTGTCTTTGTAGTTTTGGACCAAAATGCTTATATTATTTTTTCATACGATTTATATTACTCCTATTTCTCACAGAATTCATTTTAGATTGTAGACGACATTTCTGTACAGGCATCATGTTTTATCACACTTTCATTTTGGCCAAGAAAGGCCCTATGGCAAGAGTTTGGCTTGCTGCTCACTGGGAGAAAAAGCTTAGTAAAGCAGTGGTTTTTGAGACAGATATCAAGTCCTCTGTGGAAAGCATAGTTTCTCCTAAAATAAAGATGGCACTCAGAACGTCTGGGCATTTACTACTTGGAGTTGTCAGGATATACTCAAGAAAAGCTAAATACCTGCTTGCTGATTGCAGTGAAGCTTTCGTTAAAATAAAAATGGCTTTCAGGCCTGGTGTAGTTGATCTACCTGAGGAAGGTCGTGAACTGGCCTTTTCTGCTATAACCTTACCAGAAGTTTTTACTGATTTGGACATGACATTACCAGAACTAAAGTAAGTGACTACTTATTTTCTATGAATCATTGTGTGAATGGCCTTGCATCACCTATTGAATAACATTATTTTTTAATATTGACTTCCTGCTTTCAGAAATGCAATATTTAAAGAGATCATGCCAAAATTATGAAATCAGAGAAGTTTGAAGCGATTTCGATAAAAATAGCACTGCAGTTACAGGCAATCAAATTTGGCAAAAAACAAAAAACTTAAAAAATCATTTGCTGTGTATTAGTTTTAATATGAGTTCTTTATTTCTAATAGGGGAATAATGTCTTTACTCTTTCAGTGATATAGAACTACAAGCACAGTTTACATTAAACCAAAGCAGAATAGAAGAAATTACAATGAAAGAAGATGTTGTTGTTAACAACCTGCTGGGAGATGAAGGTTTTGGAGACATTCCATTTGACAGTGATGGGGAAAAAGAAATAATGAGAGCAGGAACAGGAATGGAAGAATCTCTTTATCAGTCAAAAGATTTGTCAAAAATCACTTTGAATGAAACAGATGTTGGTAAAGGGATTGCTGATTCTACATTTGAAAGAAGCAAGATAGGTTTGTATATTTCTTTAACAATAGACCATTTTTGAATCCAAACATTATTGCTGTTTCTTGATTACAGACCCGTTTACTCAGAGTTAGCCTCATATAAGTAATCAGAATATTCACAAATACCAACGGTAAAGTAAAGAATGTACAGTGAAATTTAACAGATCCTCATTGGAACATGTGAATATTCTTAACAAAATTTAGGCTTACCTGAGCAACAGCAAATTAGAAACTGGGAGTATCTTAGGTGGAATGCATGCACATTTTTATAGGTGTCATACTTACAGAATACGAAAAATGTATTTTTGTTGAATCAAGATGTATCAAAGACAAAGTCAGTAATTTATGGAGTCTTTTGCTTGAAGTTCAATTAACAGGGTTCCCAGGGGTCAAGGAAAAGTCAGGGAAAAACACAGTCAGGGAAAATCCAGGGAAAAGTCAGGGAATTTTTTATTTAGTCAGGGAAATTGCGATTTTCAYCTAAAGTCAGGGAAAAGTCAGGGAATTTTGTTCAAAGTTAACCATGAATATCCGTGTGATACTCATACTGTTTGCAATTTTCGAATAGACTGATAAATCTTTTCAAATAATGAAAAATCATTTATGCTGGACAGCTTAATTACATTGGGTATCCTGTGTAATATGATAAGAGCAGGGCCTAGGTAAAAGTTAGGCATGTGGCCCATACTTGCCCATGCGGCTCAACAAGGTCAGTGAAAACTGTTATTTAGTCAGGGAAACGTCAGGGAATTTTTATTTTCAAAATGGCTGGGAACCCTGATTAATGTTAAATGAAGCAACACCAGCAAAGCTTGTTTGAAACAAAATATCAAGGTGACTGGCTACTTTTTGAAAAGAATTTAAACTATTTTTGAGACTACGATTTTTAAATTGAAATTTAATGGTGATTCCAAATAGGAAAAGAAAAATTGGGTGTCTTAAGGTTATTTTTAGAGATAATCAGAATTAATGGATTTAATGGATGCCTATGAGCAAGTTATTGAAGCAAAAATTCATTCACTGCAAGTGATCAGAAAAATAAAATAGAAATCATAAAATCATAGCTCTTTGCAAACTATATGATTGCACAAATGTGGGTTTGACCAAACAAGTTCCAATCTTGGATAAACATTGTCCTTTTCATTAATTTTATTCTTGCAAACTTAAAATCAAGAAATATTATGTCTGTGTTGTTTTGCATTCAGGGATTTGATATATTGTTTTGTTGTCTTCATCAGATCTAGCACTAGATGAGCCTATAAAAGATGATGGTTTTGGTGGTGATGGGGTAGACTTTCTTGCTGATGGTTTTGGAGATGGCCTAGGTGATGCTTTAGTCCCTGGTATTGATGACCTGCCCCCAGTAGCAGCTGATGAATTACCTTTGGAGCCTATTGACACGAACATTGAGGGAGAGGAGCTCAAAAAGGATGACACTTCCCCTCTGGATAACCATAATGAAACTGGTGAGAAATTTTATCACTCTATGTTTAAAGGCAAGGATCTTGTTTTTAGACATTACTTGGCATCTGCATATGTGTTTCTTAGTAGATTCACTATATATTTTTTGTGCAAAATAATAGATTTTATGAAGATAAATTTGCAGCTTTCTTGACAACTTTACCTAAAAATGATTTTTTTACTTTTATACAGGTGCTAATACTACTAATGAGCTGACAATCTTACAAAATGAGGCGGAAGCGTTTGTACTTGAGCCTGTTGAAGTGGTCCAGAAAGGAAAGAGAAGTCGAAGGAAACGAAAGCTCATAGTAGATGAAGATAAAATCCTATCTACTGATGCCATTAAAGCACAGCTCTCAGATACAACAGATGTTGTTAAACATGCAACCCTCGCACCACCAACAAAGAGGCGAATGAAGCTGAAAACAAAGTCGACAGTTGAACAACTATTTGCACTTCCTGCTCTGGAGCTGTTAGCCTCTCCCTTGGTAGAAGTATTTGTTATCAATTTGACTCACAAGGCAGCAAATGAGCTTAAAACAGTTAATCATGAGGCTGAAGAAAAGATGGACACAGATGAAATGGATCAAGAAGTACCACAAGAATCAACAAGCAGTGGTGATAAGACACAAAAACGTACCTCTGTGTCTTTTGAAGAACCATTACCTTCAATGGATGAGCCCTTGCAAGATATGGTACAAGCAGAGATGCCCTTCCCAGAACAATTAGAACCAGAACAAGAAGAAAAGGAATCAGAAAAGGAAGATGTTGCTGAGCTTCCTTCATCACAAATGGATGAAGAACAAAAAATGAACACAGAAACAGAAGAACAGTTTGAAAATCGTAGGTGGACCAAGAGAACAAGTCAACTGATACACACTCTAAAGAGAGAATTCAATAAAAAAGACACTGTTAACTTCAATAACCTGGTCCAAAAGAACACAAGGAAACAAGCTGCATACAAATTTTATAGCTGTCTTTTACTAAGCAAAGACAACACTCTCAACATGAAACAGAAGGATTTATTTGGAGATATCATGCTTAACAAAGGAGCTCATTTTGCAGCAGCCTGTTAGCAGTGGACGCTCATAATCACTATGCAGATAAAAAAGAACGAAAACAGAACATGTACAAATGCATACAGCTTTTTACAGTAAGGCATAGAATTTTCAAAATGTTAAGAAATATCCAAACACTATGCAATTTTATCATCTTATGTATAAATTTTGATTCATATACTATATTTCATGCCTTTTTATTTTCCAGTTGTATTTTTAACTGTTTTAGGGCTATGAGAGATCATAGCTTGTTAATTAAAGTTTTTTTAACACAATTAAGACTATTGTTCGTTATATCCAATATCTAGTTGCACTAACATGACTGACAATATTTACGTGACAATAATACATTTCAAGCTTGTTGAATGACATGCAACAATGATTCAACAAAATCTTCACCAAACTTTTTTGAAATCAGTATATTTAGGTTTGCAGAGTAAAAAGAAAAAATGTTAGATTCACTCATTAAATTTTTACAACCCATAATCCCACTATTTGACAGCTTGAGCAGTAGTGCAGAACTCTTGATTTATGTATTCAAGTCATTTGTTCGTGTATTCAAGGGTCCATTGTGCTATTTTACTAGGAATTTCAACCTTTTTCGTTATAATAATTTGAAAATAGAGTCTTGCAGTCAATATTATTAATGATGTTTAGTAACCAACTTTATTCCATAGTAAACATGTAATATTTAACAGGTGATGAATTTGTGGCTTTTTCCACATGAATAGATTCCTTTTTTCCATTTCATTTTGTTTCTTTTTGTATCAAAAAGTTAACTAAAATATATTTGTCACAAAACTGACACATTGGAGCAATACTATATCCAGGGTCAGAATTTGAAATACTCCAGTTTCGAGTTCTCTTTGCTCAGTCTTAGTCTCGGTTGTGCATTATAATATTCGACCAAAACCAGTGGCATTTTAATCAACTCATATTGTTCTGCAGTACTTACATTCCTTACTATACAATTGATTTTAAAAAAGAACACATTTGTACACAATCAAGGCAAAGACTGAGCCAAGACGAACTCGAAATGAGGGTATTTACAACCAATAAATCGTTGGTTGTCAACATGCAGCTTTCATAATGATGTGATGCAAACAACTACATGTAGCTAAACTCATTGGCAATGAGGGGGTTTGTCGCACTAGGTGCTCTAATGCCAACATAATCACTGCAATTTTCAATTTTATGTCTCCCATCAATAAAAGTTACCAGTCAAAATGACAAGCTTACCCTTTAAGTTCCATTAATGGTTTCATTGACTTTATTGATGGAAAATTGAAATGATTATTCCTTTTGAGGAAAGACTCTGGATTCATAGCAGTTTTCCCATGAGGATTTTCCATATTTTGGACACCAATTGTTGAATAATCCAATCAGAAATCGAGTTTTCAATTTGTAATCATTTTGGATTCTGAGTCTTCATTGATCCTTGTTTTTTTCAGATGTATCCTTGGAAGGAAAAATAAATTGAATATTCAAATAATGTAACTTCGGGGGTATATTGTTCTGTTTTGACTATAAAAACATAAAAATGACTGATTTTATTGACAACAGCCAAACATTTTTAACATGAAGAGTCTGTAATAACACTTAAACTAAAAGTAACTATCAGAACCACAGCCCAAATGGTCATGAGTTTAGCCTGGAAGGCACAGAACATGGACTATTTGTGATATATTAGAGCAGCCTAAAGGTATGTCTGTTGAATTATGTGGTACCAATATTTTTGAAATTTACAAAAGTAGATTCGAACATGCTTGTGACAGGAAAGTTGGCAAAGTATGGCTAAAGTTGCACATGCTGCAATATTTCTATTTCTAATAGTTCTATTTACAAATAAAATGTCCATTCAAATTCAATATCCAAAACGATCCTGACAAATGCATATAATCAATAATAATTTGTTAAAAATTCTCTTAATTACGGCCAAGTTTGATTTAAAGTCTGAACTTGTATCCATAAAAATATAGAAAATCATCCCTACAAGGGACAGTCTATAGCTCTTTCTGAATCCTGGTCATTGATTTGTTGAGGCAAGACCTGTTTGGAACATAGTTTAGGATTATCATCTTGTGAATCACAGTTTCTCACGTCATTTGATATGTACTCCACATTGTTTTGATCGCTTTTGTTGATTTCCAAACTTTTCTTGAGTTTCGTTGTGTTATTGTCATTGATTAAATTGTAATCATTGTTTAAATGGTTTTCTTTGAAACTTTCATCTTTGTCATCTTGTATATTATTAATTTCTGGTGTGTGTTGTACACCATTATCTGTTCCATTATTCAATTCTGAATCTAATTCTTCTCGTACATCATGGGAATCACTCTGCTCTTCATTTTCAAGAGCGCTCTCTTGATTCCCATTTAAATGAGATTTCAAATCCTCTTCAGTTTCAATTACTTCCTGGTTTTCAGCCTTGTTTTCTAAAACTTTGTCAGAACCATCATTTTCCTGTTCTTCTAAATCACCCACTACAACATTTTCAGGTTTCAAACCTGCTGCTGTCTTAGCCTCCTCATCATTAACAATGCTGTCATCCATTGAAGAGATGGTTGAAAGTGCCTCTTGTTCTAATGAATTCTGTGATGGAAGAGAAGGGAATTCCTCTGTAGCAGACGTTACTGATGACTCAGAATCTCTAGAGACCATTTCTGGATTTTCCAACACTGCAGAAAGAACTGCCTGTTAAAGAGCAATGATAAAATAAATTGGTCAATGCAAAAGCTTATGAGAAATGTCCTATCACATGCAAACATTCTATTAGGGAGCTATGAATCAAGTTGATGAGATGTTCATAAAACTAAGGTGTCCCTTATATCTCCAGTTGCATGGTTAGGTGTTTAAATTGGAAACCCAGTGCCAGAAGTTATCAATAAAGTATCGGCAGCGTAAACCCTGGGGCACCAGAAACTATCCTCTTCCATTCATGATTCACATTTCCCATTTAGGTTTCACATTTCCCATTTTTTGAATAACAATATTATGTTCTTGTCATATTTCTCTAATGACATCACTCTTTTTAATTTAGGAAAGATTCTGCATGTGTGTAGAGGGAAAGTCCTGCTAATATTGAGAACCAAATATGTTCCAGGACATGCCTTTTGATTCAGTACCTTTTTCTCATGCAGTAGTCCCAAAGTCTTGGGGATATCAGAGGCAGTAATTGGTGGGGTGATATATAGAGACAGGCACTGTTCTAGCACTAAAGGATGGAGGACAAGCTTTTTGGGACCATTCTAAAGAAAAGAAAAAAAGAAACCAATGGTCACAAAAATTAGATACTCTTGTAAGATAGGTTGTTGTCCTTACCTCTTTTTGTGTTGATTTTCTCCCCTTTTTGCTATTCCTTCTACTCTGCCTCTTGCTGCTACCTCCATACATCTCTTCTAAATCATCATTCTTCTTCTTCAAGAATGCTCCTCCTTTAAAGCTTGCAATAGCTCCTAAGAAAAGGGAGATAATTGAAAGAAATGTTCAAATACAGTGCCCATGAAACACCTTTGAAATTAAAAGTGGGGGCCATTCCCATTGCCATGTCAGTAGAGTGCTCAAGGAAAGAAAACAAAACAGTTCAAAGGGATTTACCTTGAAATTCTTGACTTTGTTCCTGTAAGGTTGGTGAGTCATCACAGTCAGGCTTTGTAGAGGTGTCAATATTGATTTTTTCAAAGTAGTTGACCAATGATTCACACAGAACTTGCATCCTCTCATGCGTAGAGATAACTGTACTTTGCTCACTTCTATGAAACAAAGAAAAAAGTTTGAGCATAGGATATGCCATAGTAATTAGATTAGTACTAGTCCCCCTTTACTAACTATAGTAATTATAGTACAAAATGGGTTTGTGTTATAGTTTAATCATACTCACTTGTCTTTATACTGTTTTGATTTTTGTGGGTGTCCATCCTCTGATCTTGTCACAACCTCCATTTCTCTTCTTATTTGTCTTTCTTGTAACTTAATGTCCCTTAGTATATTGTGATATTCATCTTTCTCTTTGTTAAACGCTGCAACCAAGGCTCTCTTTTTGTCATAAAGTTCATCAATTTCTGAGCAGATAAATATTTTAAAGATAAGTATAAGTTAAAATAAAATTTAGACAAAACCGTTGAACCCATGAACATCAAAACGTTTTTTAAATCTTTCATCATAGTTCATATAATTTCAATTGCATTTATTTTAACATTAATGGTTCCTTAAAATTAAAACTTTTAAAGTGAATAATTTATTTTTTAAATATAAATAGCTATTAATGATATAATGCAAAAAAGTGGAATATCAGTGGACCTTTTTTGATAATATTTTTTTCTGTGATGTATTCTTTTTGTTGATTCCTAGCTTCATCAGCCTTATGCCGCTGCTCATCAAGAGCAGTCTTAATTTGTTCTTCCTTGGATTTAAGTCCTGCGATTGTTCTCATGCAACCCTAAAATGAAACACACTGGATAAGTTAAATGAATTAAATTTGAACAGTCTAAGAGTATGTTTTGCCAGTGATGTTGGATAGCTACCTTATATGAAGTCCTCCCCTCTCATACACACCCCTCCTTTTCAATCAACAATTAGGGAAAGCTCATTTAATATGCCGAGTGGGGGGATGAAGATTTTTCCTCAAAACCTTATTTTTTACAGGACCCCCTTTAGGACAATTCAATTCTTAAAGCCTCCCCCCCCCCCCACCCCCCAAAAAAGAAATGTTTCAGTGAAGATTTTTCTAATCTCTTTAGAGCCCCCCTTGTGTGCAAGACAAATTTTTAAAGCCCTCCCCCCTCTCCTTTAGTGCCCCAAAAAAATTGGTACTCCCCCCAACCCCTGGCATATTAAAAGAACCTTCCCTTATGGATATGATGTATAAGTTACCATGTTATTCTTATATGTATAGCTTTTTCAAAAAAAAAAAAGGTTAGATAATGAATATTGCATACTGAATAGTGCATTCCAAGACTGAAGTGCATTGTCGGTCATAGTGACATTGTCTAAAGTGGGATGAATAACAATTATTTATTCTATTTTTAGTGTATTCCATCTGAAAAAAATTAACTAACTACATGTAGAAAGTTAATTGCTGCATAATTACTTTTTATTTCAAATAATGAGACCCACAATGCCCTTCGGTCTTGGAATGCACTATTCAGTCTGCAGCATTCAGTATTCAACCTTTTTTGAAAATATAGCTGTATACAGTACTGTACTTACATCTCTCTTCATTCGAAGCAAATGTTGCTTGTCTCTGAGTTGACCAATTTCATTTTTCAAAAAATCAAAATCACTGAAAAGAAAAAGAAACCGATGGGAGCTGCATCAGGAACTAGGACGAGAATTTTCTTCCCTCTATATCCACACTAGATGTTTTTCAGGCTAAAATGTGAGTAATTTATCTTATTTCCTAAAATCAATAATAATACTCAAAAGAGTGAAGTCATTAAACCTGTGAAACAGATATTAGACTAACACTTTAGTACTTAATTCAATTGTTTTCTTTTGTGTCTATTTGACTATTACAAGTTGACTAATAATTTTTATTCACAGGTTGAATGCCTTCACTCTAATGTGAGTGCTATACACATACTGGATCAATTTCTTGGATCGTTTTAATGCATCTATTTCTGTTACGATCCTTTTTTCTTCTCTGAGCTTAAGCTGTTGTACTCTCATTTGGTGTTCGAGCCTCCTGAAATAACCAAGAAGCCAGAGAATAGAATAAAATTAATTTTAAAAATAGCAGGCATCACACATTACAGTACAGGTGCATGTCAGAGGTATTTCATGTTTTGGTATCCAAGGTGCATATGGTTGTGTGCATATCAGGCCCAATATACTACAAATTAGTTCTCTCTAATGAAGAAACTTTGAACCAAGAGATTCAGGAATATTTATAGAGAACCAATAAAGGCTTTGAACCGTCAGGTGATGGCGGTCATGACAAGAGGCAGGAACAATTCAATCTGGTCTAATCTGATTTACATGAGAAAAAATTCAGTTTCCCAGGGGGAAAAGATTCTATTGCCATGCCTCCTGTCAAGGCTGCCATCACGTGATGGTGCAAAACCTCTATACTGAAAGAATGAAAGGTATACTTTTCAACTAGGCACTTTTCATTTTTCAAAAAAGCTATCTTGTCTTGGATTTCATTTCCTTGAGTATAAGGAGGATTTGAGGTATATTTCTGTTTTTGGTTTGGACAACATACCTGATAGCTTCCTCCACCTTGGACTCCTTCTTGTACTTGAGACCTGCTTGTAACTTTCCACATGCTTCAGTCTGATAAAAATATATAAACACACTCTCGTTAATGCAGCTTCTCGAAAATGGGTTCCAAAATGTGAAATCAACATCTGCGATATTATTGAAATCAATTTGTTGACTCCAATGATCTAGCTTAGCTGTGAAGTTTAATTTAATGTATTTTTCCTGAATATGATACAAGTTACCCTATGTCCTAAAGCTCTGGGACACACTAGAGGTAATAAGTTAGGGGGACAACACACAAAGTAAGAAAGCAAAGACCATTTAAAGTGATGGCAATTTTTTGAAATTTTGTTTGTGGGTAAAAAAAACTTTTTAGGTTGGTTGGTATACTTTGAGAGAACTTTGGAGATGCACAAGCACTTTCATAACAATATTGCAGGCACAGACATCAAAACAAGGCATTTACAGGTAGGAAACCATTGAAAACCATAGAGTTAAAGGCTGGTTCACACTAGCATCATAAGCCTCAGAGTGGGAAATGGAATTGGAAGCACAAGAAGATTATATGATCCAAATTTGTGAATCAAACAACAAAAGTGGAATCATAAGCCTCACTTCGGCTCTCACTTCTTTGTTTTTCCCATAGTTACCACGGAGGCTGCCATGTTTTCTGCTCTGAATGGCCTGGGCATAAGCTGTCATTGGTCAAAGCTTACGATCCTGATTCTTTGGTTCATATTTTGATTTATATATGTATCAAAATCAGAATCAGAGTTGGAAGAAAAGACTGATGATTGGTTCACACTAGATCGTAAGGTTTCGTAAGCTCCTCTTATGACTCCGATTCAGTTGCTAGACAGTGTGAACAAGCCTTAAAGGTGTTTTCTAAAACCCTTAAAGAAAAGATTGTGGCTGAAGTGAGCAATTTTTCTTTTCAAAAATTTATTATCCTGCTCTTCATCTAAAAGAAACGTCAAAGTTTTTTTTTTGTTTACATAACTTTCAAAGTTTTGTATATGTTTCCATAGTGCATGTAACAGTCTTACCTGAAAATAACTTGTTTTTGAATGTGATCACACAATATTTTTGACAGCGCTTGCACGTCTTGAAAATAATCTATTTATAACTCTATGTATCTTTAGTGGAATATTATGGTATTATGGGTTTCCTGTGTTCCTCTGACACCAAATGACAACACTGATTACAAATAGACAACATCTCATACTATGGGAAATACCCTAATTTTGATAAAGAATAAAAACTTTATAATAGTAAAATGAGAAAATGAAACAGTGAAATAAACCCCCTTTTGAACCGATCATAACAAGAACATTGTAAACACATTTCATAAATAATATATGAAAAAATCTATCATCTTAATGCGATAAATAAACCCATAATTACTGTTAAGGGGAATCTCTAACGACACCTTTGACTGGACGAGAGCACTAGCTGCTTTTAGTTCCTGATCGATCTTTTTTCTCGTCTCGATCTCTTTTTCTCTCTCTGCTTTGCACCCTCGAAGTTCAGCCATAAGTGTATCGCGATCTTGAAAAGCATGTTGACTAGACGAGGTGCTTTCTACTTGTGACCGCGATGATTTGGGATAAGACCGCTTTATCGTAATTAAGAATAATATGAATGAAGCAATATATATAATTAACAAATACCAAAGGTTCTGTAGGTAATAAGATAAACTTGGTTCCAAAGAGGGATACCGATGAAACCAGGGCAATGAAAAACGGGATACTCGTCGTATTTACGTTGTTCGAAAACACATAAACCTCTGATGAATTAATCTCGAAAGATGTTTACGATAGAGTATTTAGATCTGGTTATAAATACGAGGCTTTATCCAAAAGGCATATCTTATATAAACAAATATCAATAAAGTTATGAATTGTATTACAAAAGGTTTAGAATRAGAATCGAGGTTGGTTCAATCGTCTTCTTCAAGGATACAAACTTGGCTTCTTTCTGTCGAATCGCCGAGTTCAACTTCTCCAACTCTCGCTCGAATTTCTTATTATCTGGTGCTTTAAGCTTTTTCCTAAGCTCCTCGATGTCTGTTTGAGCTGAAGATGTCAATAAAAAGGGGCCAGATTATTGAGAATTTGAAAATCATAGTCTGATATCTCCAAACATTTTAGGGGTAATTTAGATCACTCACTTGGACTTGCAGGAGCACTACGATCATTGCTCGCGCTGATCTCGTCCTCACAGTCTTCCTTATCACTCATTGTCTTTGTCAGTTTTAGTACTTAGACAGCAGTCAAAGCAAACCTTTTTCAACCTAGCGATTCGTCACATTTTATCTCGACATTTTAACAAAATTTACAAACAAACTTCTCTAAAAAAACTAAATCTAATCAAGCAACAAACCGCGCATGGTATGATGGGTAATAGTCGCTTAAAGGGATTGGATCTAGTTGGACGAGGGACTTTCCCTTCTGTATGTCTACACTTGGTTATGCCTTATTGGTTTGATGGCGAGTATATTTACGTAATTTTACAATCACAATGTAAAGGTCACTCTTATACACGTGGTAAATAAATCAAAGATGAAGAAAGAGCGAAGATTCTGAGGTCCAATTTGAGATGAGGTAGAGTATTTCAATCAGTCTTACCCCGCTGACGATAGGAAGGTGCTGGAAGACTGGRTACGAGATAGATTTCAGTATCAAAGAAATTTACTGAATTTTTAGTCTAAAAACTAAAAATCTTGATCCACTGTCGGGAAAAAGGAAAAGGGAGATCAGAGCCGTTGCATTTTTCTTAATCTAGTGTATGTTAGTAACTATGTATTAATATTATAGCTAATCCATATTGATGATATAGGATGGGACGCAAAACCACGTTTCTAAGTGGCCCTTAATAACGGTACCCGATTTAGGGGGGAGGGGTGGTGTTACCCGGTACCCACCACCTCTGAGAGGGAAATCTTAGATTTTGTCCCCAAATATCTCGAAAACCAAAAGCCAAATCACAGAAATGAATGGACTGTCTGTCTGCATGTATGCCAAAAAAAACATACTTGTGTATAGAAATTGCCACTACAGACCCTCCTATCGAAGAGGTCTCTGATGGGGGAGGGGGTATGTACCGGTACCTACCACCTTAATTCATATAATAGGGTCCCTATTTTGGACCATTGTTTTGACCCCACCCTCAAACAGGCTAACGTCATTGCTTATTTTTTGCCTCATCAGCATATACACCAAACATCAAGCAAACAAACCGACCGCATAAACTGGAAGAACTTTATGGAGAATATAAGACTCGCCCATTCGATGACACTCATTGACCTCATTTTTGCAAGTGAGAGGATGTTAAACGTAACATTTTTACCTAAGGGGGAGGGGGTGGGTTAGGCAAGTGTCTAGTATATTTATACTGCATCAGATGATGGCGACAATTTCTTCATTTTAAAACATTACATAGACCTTAACGTTTATTAGTGCATTAACCACATTAAACAACGAACACCAGAGTTGGACAAAAACCATCAAGTTTTCTTTTAAACATAACGTAAAAATGTAATCAAGTTGCGCTGACTTTTAGATATGCAACCATAATTCGGATCCCATAATTCAACTCAATTCCAGTACAAAAAAACTCATTCATTGGAAAAGCAGTTCGGATAACCTTTATTTTTATTTCTGACGGACGGACAGACCTGCTACATCTACATGAATGGCAAATCCTGCTATAGAGTCGAGAAACCAAAAAAGTTTATAGTTCAGTTTCTGATATTATGTTCTCAACTATATAAAAACAATGATAAAAAGTGTGAGACAAATACATATCAAACAAAGAATGCAGGTGGAAGGACTAGACTTAGCAAGGTCAGGCATGACCAAGACATGACCTTCAATCCTGTAGCCTTAGGACCTTCCTCTCCTACCAGCATCATCTTCATGTTGTCTAGAGATCCATTGTTCGGACGTGGTTCTATCCCAAGGATTTTGCACATCATTGGGTAGACATCGATGGACCTGAGACCATGATCTATTTTGTATCCTTTCTTGAAGGCAGGTCCACGCGCGTAGAATATTGCAGCCAACTTTTCACTCGCGGGATACCCGTGCGCGCCGTATACCCAGTCACTTGATCTGTTGGTGCGAGTTGGTTCGACCATCCAACCATATCCTGGGTCCAAGAAAATGGGTGGAGTACGGCGATTATTTTTAAGGTGGTATTCTTCGGGTATGTTGTCTTTCTTGTATAGTTTGGCTTGTGGGTATTCGGTGACTAATTTGGTCAGATTTACATAGATTTCTTCCATCTTTCCCTCGTGTGGCCACAAATGAATTAGTGTTCCAGACTCTGTCAACATAAACGTTGATGGATCGAGATAATCATCCAAGTAAATCAACCTGCTCAGATTGACTTGCACAAAGCTGTGGTCAGCTACGAATATCAAGTTGACTTTATCTAAAAGGTCAACCTCTCTGAGCTTGTTGACTAAATATCCAACTGCGTCTCGATCTACTTTCTCGATCTCGTCTTTGAATTTCTGTGACTTAGGTCCGTCAGAATGTCCAACCCAGTCTGGCTGGTCAACATAAACTGCAACGAACTTAGGCGGTTTGTCTGATTTCAACCAGCTTACAATGGCATCCATTCTGTGAGGAAACGGTATCGAGTAATTAGGATAACAATGATCGTATGGCGGGAACGTTGAACGTACTGGTTTACGAGATGCAGGAAGATCGCGAATAGCGCTACAGTTCACTTTACAGAGAGCTTTCTCGTAGTAAGTTGGTTTAGTTTTGTAGCTTGAAAATCCCGGCCAAAAATRCATTCCACTGTAGAAACCTTGCTTTTGTAGTGTAAGCCAAATGGGCTCTGACTCTTGCCAGAACTTGGGATCAAAGTTCGAGCAGTCATACTCAAATATGAATTTCTCTTTGAAGATGGGGTACCAGAACTTGTTTGATACCAATCCATGACTCTCTGGGTACAACCCGGTGAGATAGGTTTGATGATTGGGCCAAGTCTTAGTTGGAGTAACCGTCTTCATGTACTTTGCCTTCACGCCTGTTGAAGCGATGTAATCAAGGTTTGTCGTGTTTGCAAATTTGCCTCCGGTGAACTGCCATCCAAGGCCGTCTATAGAAACGAGAATTATCGGCGAAGACTTGTCTTTGGTTGTAGTATTTGAATGAGAGCTAACCAACAAAAAGCTTAGTTGGAGAATCAAACACACGCAGATAAATTGCAACCACACGTGCAAAGCAACCATTGTTCCTTGCCAATATGTGTATCAAATACAAGTAAGCTATTGTTTTCACACTTTCTTTGATATTGACTGCGCATGTACAAGAATATGGCCAAGATGCTTCAACGTCAGATTTCTACGTAATACTATGCTGAATGTTTATAGAGAAATACTATACCTCCTACGATAATAGCTGTAAACAATACATCTATTTTGTTTCCTCCATAAACTTGTAAGTCAYAAATAATGTGAAACAAACAATGTGAAATAACAAATGTAAAGAATTTTGTTTATGACACTGGCACCAAAGTGAAGCTAGCGTCGGATTGGCAGCGTCGGATTGATATTCATTGAGATTCAGAATCATTTCCGGGGGAGGTCAAACAGGTCATTCTTCTAAAATCCTCTAACGGTGGCAAAATCACAAACGAATTCCGATTAAACTTTCTTCTCTGATTTCTATTCATGATATTCTACGCTCTTAGTAGAATACACTGCCTATTCTCGACGAATTTACGGATTTTG